AAAACCAAATCATTAGTACCCCCTGTAGCTAAATGCAGAACCTCACTGAGAAGGAGAATAGAAGAGGGAGATAAGTCAAGGCAACAGTACAGCTGAGCTTTTATCTAAGACCTGCAATGGAAGGTTCTCCTTTGGGAGTAGTATGCAAATCCCCTAGTTAGTACAGGAGCACTCTTATCTTGAAAAAATAACAACAAAACAACAAAAAAACACATCTTGTATGTCTGGGTTAAATGTATTAAAATAAAAAGTATTGAGTGGTAGTATAATTGGAGGATTCTGAATAATGGTCATTGTAGAAGGTACCAGGTACACATGATGAAAACCTTTTCCCAAAGAGTAAAAATATGAAAATTCCTCATTGAAATTTACATAATTTATTACTATTAAATCTACTATTACAAATTCTCATTGTATGTGTATGCCATATAATTCAAAGTATGAAGAATTCCATGTGATGGGGCAGTCAGTGTGTCTCAGCTGGCAAAAGCGATTGCCTCCAATCCTCAGCACCTTTATTTGATCAACACAACTAACAAAATCAATCACCCCATTTGTCCTTTGGGCATCCATGCACCATAGTCAGTATCTGCACATATGCTTACATACAGACACTGAAATAGGTATTTTTAAAGAGAATGGCCTATGGACATAAAGATGCAATACCGTAGAAATAATGCTACTGGCTCTCCATCTGTTCCCATGAATCCAATCCCCCAGTCTCAAACACCAAATATATTTTCATCAGAACAGTAAATTAGACTCTAAAGGGACTCTAAGTTTTACTGAGTCACCAAGGCATCCCATGCTACTGTGTCAACTATACTATTGATAACTAGAATAATAGGTTTTTAGGTAAAGCCTAGACTATTGCATATCACAGAGAAAACAATATTTAAGAAATGCTAAAATATCTTTCTCAAATAAGAAGGGTCATATAATACATCATGCTGTCCTGTAGAAGGAAATGTTTGTCAACTAAATTGGACTCAAAGAAATGTTAAAATAAATTAGACAAAAATTAGTCATTAACTAAAATACCAGGACAAAAATCTAACCCTCCAATGGTGCTAAGATGATCTTTCATTGCATTACTGCTTTATTTATTTATTATTTATTTATTTATTTATTTTTCACAAACTGTTTTTTATGTACAGACTTCATCTATGAGAGCAATGAATATGCATTAAACTATCTAAATTTTTCATATAATTAGGATGTTTAACATACATACATACAATATTTACTATAGGCTGAGGGGGAGGCATTGTGTATTATGGTGTTACTCTGCCATCTATAATTTTTCTTGAATTATATGACTTGAGTCTTATGTAAATGATCCTGAGCTCATTGGTTTTATTTTTATTTTTAAATTTTTATTTATTCATCTCTCTTACCATATATCACAACCTCATTTCCCCCTTCTTTCCCTCATCCTATTCTCCTCTCACACCTCCTATTTCTCCTAGATCCACTGTTCCTCTGTTTCCTTTGAGAAAAAAAGTCTTTCTAGAGATATCAACTGATCCTGGCATAACAAGATGCAAAGGACTAGGCAGAAACCCATGTATCAAGGCTGGACAAGGCAACCCAGTAGGAGGAAGAATGTCCCAAGAAGAGGTAAAGCAGAGACACCTCAACTCCCACAGTTAGAATTCTCTTAGAAACCTCAATCTAAACAACCAAAAATACATGCAGAGGGCCTAGCAGACACATGCAGTCTCTGTGATTGCTGCTTCAGGCTCTGTGAACTGCTATGATCCCTGTTTACTTGATTCTGTGGGATATGTTCTCTTCCTGTCTTTAATCCCTCTGGCTCATAAAATTTTTCCTACAAGTCTTCTTCAGTATTCCTTTGTAGTCAGAATATTTCCTATGTACTGGCCTGCCTGTGGTTGCGACTAATCTCTCCCACTCAAGTTCCCCAAGTAAACACACAGAGGCTTACATTAGTTATAACTGCATGGCCATGGCTCAAGCCTTTTGCAATCTAGCTCTTAGATCTTGAATTAGCTCATAACTATTAATCTATGTATTTGCACATGTCCCACGGCTTTACCTGAGTCCCATTACATGTTGCTCCTTGGGCAGCTACTTGGGATGTTGCCCCCTGCCTTCTTCAGGTCTCTTTCTTTGAATTTTCAACCTACCTCTAAACTGCCTTGCCATAGGCCAAATGGCTTTATTTGACATCCACTCAGAGCAACACATATTTGCAGCATACAGAAAGACATTCCCCCATCACTTCCCTTTTTCTGTCTAAACAAAAGGAAGGTTTTAACTTTAACCTATTAATATTACATGTAACAAAACAGTTCTCAAGCAAGAATTACAGTTATAATCTCTAGTGTATTTGTATTTTGTAAAATTAAAGAAAAATTTTCTATTTATCCTATATTTGTGAGTCTAAGGTTTCATAACTAATTTATCTTTTATCATAACCAGGGAAAATTATAATTATGACTATCTAGTCTTCAACTACTGTAGCTAGAGTTTTCCTGCCTTGCCCACAGTCAGGACAAATCTTTGTCACCCGCCAGTCCCACAGCCACTCAGACACAAACAAGTAAACACAGAGACTTATTTTGCTTACAAACTGTATGCCTGTGGAAGGCTTCTTGCTAACTGTTCTTATAGCTTAAATTAATCCATTTCCACAAATCTATACCCTGCCACGCGGTTCCTGGCTTACCATCATTTTCACATGCTGCTTGTCCTGGCGGTGGCTGGCAGTGACCCCTTCTGCATTCCTGTTCTTTTATTTCTCCTCTCTGTTAGTCCCGCCTATACTTCCTGCCAAGCCATGGCCAATTAGGCTTTATTTATTGACCAATCAGAGCAACTTGACATATAGACCATCCCACAGCACAGCCAAGTGTAGACCCTCTCAGACACCTGCACTCAGGCCCGTGGTCCTAATCATCCTCTATGAGGACCATCTGTGTAAAGCCACGAGGAACCCGAGAACAGGCTCCCACAGGACATACAGAACATCCCACAACACATTACATCAAAGACCCCAGAATAATATATTACCTAAGTAAACAGGAAATGTACTGTAAGCAACTTCCAAAATTCTGGAAATGACCAAAACAGTTGCCTACCTGGACAGTTAACCAAAGTTTCTCTGTAACACTGGGGCATCCATCTTCAGCCCATAGGACTAGTCACTCAGTTATTTTTTTCTCTGTGTCCTGTAGAATATCTCTAGTCTCTTCTACGTAACAGGAACCTGATGTAGCATTTCCCCTTGCAAAGTTCAGTGGTCACATTTCTATGGCTACAGCATGTCCAATTGATATACCATTTTGTCAAGCAGTCTAGGCAATTACAGTTTCTTGCCTAAATGGCTATTTTTTGCCAAGAAGGGTGTTTTGTTTTCTGGATATTTTTTGAGTTCCTTATGTATTCTAGTTATTAATACTTTTTTGATATACAGTACACAAAGACATTCTCCCATTCTACAGACTGATGTTTCAGTCAATTGATTGTTCCCTTTGCTGAGCAGATTTTATTAGATTCAGGAGGTCCTACTTGTCAATTGTAGGCTGTATTTCTTGAAGATCACCGTCTTTGTTACTTTTCCAATGCTGTAAAGATATATGAAATCCAAAGCAACTCTTATAAAAGAAAATATTTAATTCAGGGCTTGCTTACACTTTCATAGGGTTTTTCCATTTTCATCATGGCAGGGAGTATGGTGTCAAGCATGGGGCTGAGAGCTGAATATCATGATCTACATGCAGCAGGGAGAGAGAGAGAGAGAGAGAGAGAGAGAGAGAGAGAGAGAGAGAGAGAGAACAACAATGGGCCTGACACGGGGTTGGAAAACTTAAAGCTAAACACTAATTACATGCCTCCTCCAACAAGGCCACGTCTGCTACATCAAGGCCACAACTACTCACAACAAGGCTAAACCTCCTAATGGGATGCTGACAGCTCATTAACTTGGGAATAAGCAGCAAATTTATGAGCCTATAGAGGCCAGTCTCATTCAAAGCAACTCAGTCCTAGTCCTGTGTAGTGAATTCTTACCTACTTCTACATGCTTTGGCATACTCCCTAACAGAACATGTTCCGTAACTTCCAGATTTTTCAGTTTCAGGTTTTACATTGAGTTATTTGAACCTTTGGGAATTTACTTTTTTATTAATGAGAGATAGGGGTCTAGATTCATATTCTATATGTGTACATTCATTTTTTAAACATCATTTGTTGATGTTACTGTCTTTTCTACTGTGCTCATTGGTTTGTGAGTTTGAGTGTTTCCATTTGTCAAGCAGTTGGCTCTAGTAGCTTTGACATAATCTGGGCATTCAGATCTGTTTCAATTATCTATGAGTTTTTCTCTGTTAATTTCAGACTGTTTACTACTTTTGCTTTATTATATTACTTAAGATTAGTTATGGTAGTGCCTCCCAGCAATATTTTTTTAGACTCAGTTTCCATATTAATATTTACCTTTTTCTGTCTGTGAAGATTTTATCATTGTTTCATTGTATCTACATGTTGTTTTTGGTAGAACGATCATGTTCATATTCAATTCTGTTACCTAATGTGTATGTACAGCTTTTCTATACTTTAGTGTTATCTTTGATTTACTTTTTCAGAATTTAAAAGAAATATTTTACAGGTGAAACAGATGACTCAGGAGGTAAAGATCCTTGCAGTGAAGCCAGACAATCTAAAGTCAATGGCTGTGACCCACATGGTGAAAGGGGAGAGATGACTCCAGAATGTTTTTCTATACATACACACGTACGTGCATGCGTGTATGCGTGTGTGCATGCATGTGTGTGTGTGTGTGTGTGCGTGCGCATGTACACACCCACAGCAGAAATAAATAACAATAAATAATAAAATTAAAGGAAACATTTTATTGACCTTTTATTAGTTCTCTGCTGCCTATTTGATTTCTTTGTTAGTGGATTGTTTCAGTGATTTATCTTGAGACTAGAAAGATAATACCATATAAGATTGTCATGAATTATTTTGGGGAGGAGAAAATCACTTCAAGCATAAATTGACAAGACACTTTCAGTGGGAAAGACAGTTTGTTAATGAAAATCAGAAGATAAAGATGGATCCTACTTTTACTATCATAACAGAGGCAGTGTACTTTTAATAAATGACTGTCCTGAAGGAAAAATGCCAGAGAAGATCCTGTGATCAGTGCTGGGAGAAGAATCAAGGTATGAAGGCTTCTGAGGAACTCCAGTAAAATAGTTGAAAAGTTTCTACTACACTTTCCTTCAACAAACAGAACCAAAAATAGAGAATAAACAAACAATGAACAAACTTGAGAACAGCACTGAAGTACAGTGGGGTATTATGGAGACACGAAGTTACCCAAAGATGCAAATGTCCTTGTAAAGCAGGGCATAAAGCACCCTGTGTGGATTATTGCCACGAAACCCTTGGCCACATTTCACCACTAGGACGAAGCTGTTGGGCCCTAGGGAGATAAAGGGTTTTTGTTCCAGTCTGTATCACTGTGTGAAGGGAGAACTACTCCACTGCTGACAGTAGTAAGTGGCAGCATCTTCAGCCTCCATGCTGCTGATTGTGAGAGAGTAAGAGGTCCCAGACCCACTGCCACTGAAGCGAGCTAGGACTCCAGAAGCCAGAGTGGATGCTTTATAAATCAGGAGCTTAGGGGATGTTCCTGGCTTCTGCTGGTACCAGTTGAAGTAACTGGAGCTTACACTTGAGCTGGTTATGCAGGTAAGGGTGACCCTGTCTCCTTGAGATGCAACCACGAATGCTGGAGACTGGGTGAGAACCATTTGTCCACTGGACACTGTGAGCAGGGGAAGACAGTGAAAAGAATGAGATGTTAGTAGACATAGACATATAAAAATAACTTTATACCACCTGATAGTCAGTAGAAAGAAAATGAAAAATGTTATCTTAGACTCAAGCTTCTCTAGGGAAAAGAACTGTAGTTTCTGAACTCAAATGTCCTTCCCTCTGTTACCTGTGACACTGACTAGTAGGAAGCTGAAAATCTGCACCAGAAAATCCATTGTGCTTTCTAATTTCAGTCTCAGGCTTATTACTGCTCTTCTCATCAGTACATCTCTTTAAAACAACTGTGAATCATTTGTGGTTTCAGAGGATGAAATATGCAAATAACATGTTATAGTCTTGCAGTTGGCTTATAAATTCCTGTGGTCTGTTAAGTATAGCAAACTTGGTTAATCTAGGAAAATACCTACTTATTTGTAGACAATATACTGATAAGGAAGGAAATCTCTGTTTTTCTTTTTCTCCTTCATGGTGCATACCTCTATCTTAGAGTTTTACCCATGTATCTCTGTGAAGACTAGCATAATTTGATCTACTCAGTGAGGCAAGCTCTACTGAGTGGTTGGAGGCATATTTCTCCCATGATAAAGCTGTGTTGAGGATGCCTGTCTATAATGTTCTCAGAGAACTTTTAGCATCCTTATCTGATTCCTGTCTTCTTGTTAGTAGCTCAACTGAGATGTCACTCACCCATTCCCGCCTTGTCAGATGACCATGCTTACCAACAACTAGGAAATCCATTATCTAAGTGTGTGATTTGGAACCTACGTTTGCTTTGTGCCTTTTCTGCAATAGTCAAGCACCTAAGCCATCCTCTGGAGAATGGAAAAAAATCTCCCATTGAAATGGATGGAAAGGCAGGTACCAATTTTGTAGCAGCTATCATTTGATCTGAACTTTAGTCCATGCCGGATTTAAGAGAAACCTGGCCTAGGGGTTCATGAAGATGCACTTATCTGAATAACCACTATTTCAATATGTACTATGCTCTGTTACTGTTTAGTACATATCATATAGTCTAGGAATATCTGAGCACAGTTTTCAAATAAACTACCTGATACTTTTAAATAGTGACAGCTCCTTGATCTGGAAATTCATGTCTAAGTTTGATCAAAAGTTTTACATTATCTTACAGCAAACTTCAAAAATGTTCTTATAAACCTTGAAGCTAACTAGAGCCCTTAAGTCATCCTGGGTATCTCTAGATCTTCCTTAAGCGTGGCTCCCTTGTTACTCCCTCCATAAAATACTTCTTTAAGTCTGTATCAGTGATTAGAAAAAATAATCTAGATACACTGTGAATAAAGCATTCTGAGAGATACTAACCTCAGAACTGCTGAATTCAAATGAATTTTAAAGCACTCAATTCTAGGTAAATGGTTGTTTTTTCTTCAAGATAACCCATGGTCTTGTCTTCCATATTTTATGTTTGGTAGTTAGTTGCTAGTGTTATTCTTGTTCCTTCAGAATGAGAAATATTCCATTATTTTTGTGTAGATAGTTTTCATATTTTACTTGTAAGGGCACTGAATGAAGCATCTTTGGTTTTATACAAACAAACAAATCAGCACATTGGTCAATAAGCCTCATTATGAATAAAGAAAGGATATCTCCATCATGTCAATTGTTAATTTAATGTTGGATATTCAAGAAACCACAGAGTTAATAATAATAAAAGCAACAACAATAACAATAATAATAATAATAATAATAATAATAATAATAATAATAATGTTTCAGCTTACTGAGGGCAAAAACATCTAATCTTTCAACCTTTTTAGATATATTTATTTTATTATGTGTTTTTCACCTACATGTGTTTATGTGTGTAACATCAATATTTGTTATCCAAGGAAGTAAAAAGAGGCCATCAAAACTCTACCTTGGAACAGAAGCTATGAATGATTATGGGTCACCATGTAAACTGACAATTGAACTGATGTCTTCTGAAAGAGAAACAAACATTCTTAACTCCTGGGTCATCTATTGATCCCCAGAGGCATCCATTCACAACTTCATGGCAGTTTACTTACCTCCAATAAGGTTTGGTACTATGACTACAATAAACTTATAATAGAAACGAATCTTACTGAACCAGGGAAGACTGTAGCTAGAGACAGAGTTCTGGAAGAGACTTAGTTCCCTCTTTGGAGACAGTGGAGTTGTTATACCAGGTTCAGTGGGATGATGGTGAGTGTGGTCTGTACCATGAGGACTGTCAATGAATTAAGCAGAGACTTGGATATTTTTCAGAGTGGCATGTTGATCAGGAGCCTGGGCACTTCTTGTTTTCTATTTTTATGGTGATTGCAGCTCTAAGGCTGGTGGTTTTGACTGATTAGATAGATATGTGTTAGTGCTGCTCCCTACTGTTAAGATGGACAAAATGAAGATAGGGCTGAGTCATATCTGTTTTGGAGTCTAAGGGAAAAGTGATCAGTGATCAGTGCCAAATACTAGTGTGCTTAGAAAAAATAATGTCTTTTAAAAGCAAAGACTCCAGCTATTCTTTCCTTCTGATGGTCAGAGACACAATGATAAATAATGTCCATATAGTCAGACACATGTAAACAAATATACTCTTATACATACCATCATGAAATAAATAGGAAAGTGTTAAACACAGGTGGACAAGTGACTAAAGTATATGAGATTTAGGAGAACATTAAGTCCATATTCATAGATACTACATACTACTTGTTTTGCAGTGAGGATACAAATAGCTAAAATAATGTAGAACTTACTTATGGTAACAATGATTACAAGTCACTCAATTAAAAAGCCATAATATAACCAATTGTAGAATAACCTATTTAGTTTTAGAAGCATGGCCTGGTATGATGACATTGTTTCCTCTTGTGATTATGTAGCTGCCTTTGAGTTGTAGATTGCTGCTGCTGCTCAGAATCAAGGGAGAGTTATGATTGCACACACCATGGTACGGAAAATGGTAAATACTTGAAATTTATATCAGGTTTCTATTGAAAATGCATTATTTGGGGGCCTTAAAAAGGCAAAATGTTATGTAGCTGAACAAAGGAATGTAGCATCTGTAACTTGAAGACTATGAAATCATAGAGGGCAGAAAGACATGTATTATTGTGAGACAAATGTTGATGATTTTTATTGAAAATTACATGTAAGTTATTGTAGCTTACAAAGCATCTTCATTCTAAGACATTTAGGATGGAGGAATGGATGAGTGAATAATTGCTCTGAAGATGTAAGGCCATGTGGATCATCTGTTTAAACCAGATGATATCCTGGATTTAACTAGCACTCAAGTCTTAGTATCAAGGATAAGATAATGAAGAATAAAGTCATACTTTAAGCTTTGTTGTTTCATTCCACAGACTTCTGGGCACTGAATTGTCAAAAAAAGAAAAAGGAAAACAGAATGTCTCTGCTGAATATCTCTATGATTTCAATCCAACAGAACATGCTCTGTATAGCCCTCCCTGAGATACTCCATGTAGTATAGCTGATATTTTTAGATTCCCAGAAAGGAGACATATTGCCAAAGGGATTATGGCTCACAATCAATACAGGTTTTTTTCATACTGAAATATGGATCTCATTTACTGTTTTAATGGCAATTTTTGTCATCTCTTTGATTTTGAGTAGGGTGTAAAGATTAGTGTAGATTTTTTTACAATAAATTTATGTGTTGAAATTGTAATATAATCACTTAATTTTACCACTTCCTTTTTCTCCCTTCAAACATCAACATGTTCCCTCCTTGCTCTTTCTCAGATTCATGGACCATTTTTTCCTTATATTTCTACATACATAAATACAACCTGCTCAAGCCATATAATATGTAACTTCTCTTTGAAACAAGTAGATATCATTACAGAAAACCACCAATGATCAAAACACAGAGATCAGGTGATCATGTGGTAACCAGTCCGAAATGATCCATCTACAACACAATTTCTGATCCTGTAGCTCAGGGATGATTGCAGTGTGGTTAGAAAGATTGTAAGAGTGAAAGGAACTAAACTTTTTCTCTGAGATTGTGTCTTCTGTAAATGCCAGAGAGGCTATATCTATGAGGTCTAATGAGGTCTTGCCTAAAAAGACCTGAAGCAGGTGACTCCAGCAGACATGCAAATTATAGAACTTGGAAATCTTGAGAGGATTCCATCCTAGATAAATAACCATGGGTAACTGGGGGGAACTCTGAGAGTGCAAGAAGAGGTCTTACCTGGAGTAGACACTCATAAACACACACACACACACACACACACACACACACACACACACACACACACACCAGTTTGTTATCCAATATAGAGTAGTCAACAACACATGATCTGATCTTAGTTTTCAATTTTGTGCTTTCTGCTTCTCTTTACCTCAAAGTAAGCTAGGAGTGAGTAAATGTTCTCCTGAGTTTTCTTTCATGGAAGATGCCAGATGGGTCCCAAAGCTTCTCACTCTGCTATATATGTTCCTTACAGAATCTGCCTTTACTGTAAAATCATATGAACATGGAGACCTTCAAAACAATTAAGACTATTACTATTGTTCTTGGACTGGTAGTAAAAGACCATATTGATGAAGGCAATACACACTTTGGACATAGGACATGAAGAAACCTAGTTGGTATGAACCAAATAGCTTCTAGCGAAGGACTGCAGCTGTATAAAACAGACTTTCTATGGTGTGATAGCATTTCATAACATGTGAAGAATCTCTGATAAGAGAAAAGCTTATGGACACGTAAATATACAACTGTTGTTTGTTTGTGTCTTGTCTACTTTGGTCAATGAAGCACCTTTTTGTTTTGGACAGAAGTTGGTGGAGAAATATGTGACTTGTCAGAATGATGACAGGAACAGGAAATGGAGGTCTAAGGTTGAATGGGGCATCTAAATTAAGCTCCCATCCCAAGGCTCAGACACTGTCATAGAGTAGGGGCAGAACAAATGTAAAAGCTAGAAATTGGGAGAAGTGCTGTGAAGTGCTGTATCCTAGACATGACATGGCCATCACAACCATGAACTCATGGTAGGCATGGTTATCTGCACAAGGCCTACAGAAGTTTGTAGCAGTCAAAATACTGACATAGGTGGGGGAAGGTAATCTGTGGGTCTCACACTGTACTGAGCAGGTACTGGTGTGGTAGTTGCTGGAAAGGCAGAACCATTCTTTTTATAGGATATGGTGAATGGGAGGATTCTCATGTTCCAGCAGATGGCCCCACCTCCATGCACATGTGGACACA